AATATGGTGCTACGAATGGCGAGACTCACTGACGATGCCGACTACGATGCCCGCGAAGCGTTTGGGAATGTACCGCGTCCACGGCCCAACTTTGGAAATAATGATGCATACAACGGACTCAGGACAAGTTGCGTTCCTATAAGTCTTCCTAACAATATGACCAAGTTGCAAAAACAAGATCAAACAAATTTTAACTTAAATATGCCTACATAGATAAGTTCGAAGCTGTAGTCCAGTCCAGTCTAGTCCAGCCTAGATAAGTCCGTCTTTTGGGAGGCAAGACTACTTACCTTATTGTGGGAAAATTTACATGTCAGTTTTTGCTGTAGAGCTATTCATACTCTCGAAACTTTCTTATACTGATAACAGGCAACTAGTAAATCAGGAATAAATGCCACTATAGAAGGCATTTGAGAAATCTTGGTATTATGAGAAGGATAACGAATAATAGGAACAAATCTGAGAAATTATTAATATAATTGAATATGAGTTCTTGTCACCCCAGGTCACATAATAGTGGAAGTTTCTTACGATAATTGCTAATTTAGACTAGGCAAATGTCTATCATGCTATAACTATAGGGTATGTTGCTTATATTCGTATAAATGAGGTTTCCAAGATTCACTAAATCATGAATAAGAGTTCCAGACTCCTTTTCTAGCATCAGTCAATATATGATTGATATTTGAATTATGCTAAGAAAAGTTGTCTTTTAAGGAATCTTTTGTTCCATAATTGTTGAGCTTACTTCCGTTTTAAGTGAATGGGTTTGGTGAAGAGATTCGAAGGTCGGTTCCACCAGAAGGCGACGGCGGATTCCTCCTGAACAGATGTCGATTGGCTTTAATGAAAGATTCATGCTGACGCTGTTTCCGAGGCAATCTTTTTCGATTCCGGTGAAAAGGTGCCAAGCTTTTATCCGTCATATGACGAACATCATCAGAGCAAGGTATCATCGTCACAACGAAAATTACTCGCGGCAATGTGGCGTAGTGATTAACGTGCAAAGAGTATATGCTGCGGTTTCATGCTCCGAATCCCGCTCTTGGTGTTGACAAGATCTAGGCAAGGTCGAAACTACAGTCCATCCTGAATGGGAACACCTTTTGGGAAAGCGAGGCTATGTAAAATTTAATTTAAACGTCATTTCAACCCATGCGATTGTTGTAAAAGTCAACTATCAATTATCTTACCACTATAAACGAAATGGTATGAATAAATTTCATATATATGATCTACTAGTAGTCTCGAAAGCCTACTTATAAACGA